GGGAGGAGGAGGAGGAAGAGTAGGAGGGGGAGGGGAGGACAAGGGAGAGGGGGAGGAGAAGGGGAGAAGGAGGAGGAAGTAGTACACGGGTCCAGGCTTACCTGTAGTGCCCCCGCACCACCCCGTCCGGGTTCAGCATGGGGATGAGTTTGAAGATGAACATGCGGCGCAGCATGGCGGCGCGCGGGTCCTCCTGTCTGAGGATGAACTGTAAGAAGCCATTGAACACGAAGCTGGATGGCGTCTCCCCGGGGTGGACGCGGCTGCTCAGGAAGAATACCTGCCAACAGAAAGAAAAGGCCGTGACACCGGCGCTGCAAATTCATATAATCGTGTCACCAGAGGACCCCGACCCTCTCCTGTCATCCCCCACATCTATCACAGGAAGTTCTACAATTGGGGTAAAAGAACGGCGTGTCAGTACTGAGGAGGTCCGATATATTGTTCAGTATCAGACACGAGGGGAGTCCTCCCACACGGTGGTCAGGAGGAGGTCACGTACTATGGCCGGCCATCACCGAATCCCACACTGCAGACGTACAGCTGAGAGGAAGTGCCAGGGGGCCACATCTGGGGGCCGTCTACAGGCCTTTATCTAGGAATGAGAGGCCGAGGGCCACCTAAGTAGGATGACCGAGGCCAACGTTTGCCCCTTGAGAGTGCTTAGGGCCAAAGCTCATCCAGTCCTGAGCAGAGGAGGGCCAAAGACCGCCCCATGGAGGATATGGGAGGATAAAGCCCTCCGGAAGCGGTGAGACCCCCAGACCCCTATAACTCAGGACCTCGGCCAATGAGGGAGAAGCAGGATGGACTCTGAGGCAGAATGTCTGGGTTACACGAGGGTCCAGTCACCTGATCATATCTGCATCTTACCCAGTCATCTCTGAATCTGTGTCCCGCACGATTTTTGCTGTCTCCCACTTCCTGTCCGCCTGGCACAGGAAGTGAGGGACAATACCCCCCCAGCGGGGACACAGGTAGCAGTAAAAGCCGACGGTGGTATTTCCTAAGCAGCCGGGACTCACCCTCTTCCCGGTGAAGCGGTACGGACGTGGAATGGAGCGGTCCGGGAAGAGTTTGTCCAGCCGGGGCTCCCGCTCCTCGCTCATCCCATGACACGAGCTGATGGTCAGCAGGTCCACATGGAGGGCGTCCAGGGAATGGCAGAGCGGCTCGCGGTGATAATAGATGGAGTCTGGAGGACCGCTAGACACGGAACAGACACAAGATCAATGATCGGCAGAAGTCAGTCACCCAACATGTGGCCCCGCCCCCCGATACACTTGACCCCGGAACTCCCATCTGGTCACCGGTCTGTTCCCGATCAATGACTGGCCCGGGCCGGACCCGGGGACCTACCTGCCGGGAGACATGAGCCTGCAGTCGCTGAATCGGTCGTCCAGGCCGGCTAGCATCTCCTGGCTCTCCTCATACGAAAACGGGAAACAGAACGCAAAGTACGTCGTGGCCGCGCGGCAATCCAGGAACCGGTGTGCAAAGGACAAGACGAACTGGCCGTCCAACATCTGGGGGGGGCAATCACAGGCTTCAGACACAGGGCTCATTCACAATACAATCCCCATCCCAAAATCCTAATACTGCCCCCATCCCAGATCCCACTCCAACCCCCATCCCAAAATCCTAATACAGCCCCCCATCCCAATACAGCCCCC